CCTATTTCATATATATTAGAAATAAAAAAAAATTAAATTGATATAGTTACTAGCATATGACTATCGCCCCACTTGTCTTTAATCAGGCTAACATTACGCTGTTTATCGTGAGTACTAAGATTTATGGCCGCTAAAATTGTTGTGACTGTTACAAATTATTGCAATTAAATCACAAACTAATCAAATTCTCAATTCCGTGCCGCATTTTCATTTTGCTGCTATAAGCTATTTAACGTTGGCAGTCATTACATATATAAACAACGCAGCTGTACATATCATTTGATACTTCGGGCAGCATAACACGAGTACACAAGAGATATTCAACAAGTGTAGGTCATTATTACTGTCTCTGTACAAGACGTTTGCTGAATAATATTATAATAAACATGTTCCCTTCTTCTGTAAGTACGTAAACAAACTGATTTTTTACAATCGTTTATGCACGTATAAGTCAGCGACATGTAGGTGTGATGCCTACGTGACCAAACAATCTCGTAACTTTTTTACGCAAGGAATATTGTAAATTGTATTTGAATCGTTGCGAATATATTAGTGATAGTAAAATTAATTCATCGAACTCATTCATTGATACGTCTGCGACACACATGTTCCACAATGGGAATTGCACAATTCAATCGTTTTATGCAACGATGAAGTTTTCTAATTAGAAATTGATCATTTGAGAAGTTGAGTGTCGAGAAATTTTTGAAGAATAATTATGGAAAAAGGTAATCCTATATAGGGTTAAAGTCATCTGGTATATGTTGGAACACAAGCCAGTTATAATGCAAGTGTTCATTTTAGACAATAAAAACGGATCACCATATGTGGTTTTACCATACAATGAATTTGTATAGAATGTGCCAAAAAGTGCCGTCATAAAAATTCTTCAAAAAATCTCTTTAGCTTAGCTATATACACTGATTTTTTCAAATCTTATGAAGTAATTTATGATTGCTGACGATGATTACTTAAAAAACCAAAAATAATACCAATTACAAACTATAAAAGGTGTATGAAGAAATTTAAGATCATTGATAACTTTTATAAAAACTAAACATATTTGAGTTGTCTTGCTCCATCAACAGAATTGTCAACCTTAAAATCTTCCTAAAATTTGAAGTATTTGATTAGCATTTGGGTACTAACATTAAAAGATCAGCTTCCATACCAAGGTTCACCAAGAGAACGAGACATTACATATATTATACCTAAATTATTATATACCTCCACGGTATATAATATAATAATTGAAGAATATTATTCCAATCATCGTGCTTATTTTATTGCTCTACAAGGACTGTATTTGTAAATGACCAAATACTACTTACTAAAAACCATTACATGTGCATAGTTTATCATCTGCTGCAAACAAGCCAACCAATGTAAGCCGTATTCTAATTATCATGATATGATCAACTTCGAGAAAGCTTAAGAATTTCAGACATGTTTATATTTATGCAACCGAACATTTGATTTGATTTCATTCAATCTCTAATTTTAGTCTCGTCCTCATAATAAAATTTAATACTTTCTCGGTTTGTACGACCGAGTAGGTGCGTTTGCGCGGGTCGGTTAGTGGGCGCCCCTGGTTTTGCCTCCGCGGTCTCAAAAACCGTACAAGCACTTGTGAAAAAAACATACTTCGCCTATATTAATTTATGTAAGGCAGCTGATCACTTTCTCTTCTAGTTGAGCACGTAATGATAAAGGTACTTAGGGCAAAAGAAATAAAAGTATGAAAACTATGTGAGGTAAGTTGATCATTGGGACAAAATCGAGGAGCACTTTGCTACGAGAAAATTGGAATAACTAATCGCTGATGCCTAGTTTGAATCCTGTAGACGAAATAGATCAGACAAATGAAGTTAACAGAAAGAACGATGATCTAGAAAGGCCAATAACTACGAAAAGAAGAATTATTCTAAATAAATTATGAGCGAACACAATTATTTCAATGCGCTTGGACAGTTTTTTCTAGCAGCAATCAGTATTATGTGATAGTTGTGTTTGCTGTCGTACATTCCAACCCAGTATTTCGCTCGTGATAGTATATCCCAGTATTCGACAACTCTCCTTTTTGTGTCTTTTTATGTGTAACGATTTTCATTTCAGATTATGGGACTAATTCTCCGATGAAATAGAATTGTAATGATTATTCTAAATTACTGGTCTATATTGGTATTGCTTGGTAGTAACAAACTGTCATAGAGCTTTGCATTTTTATACGATAGGCGTTTTACACACGTACCTCCTCAGTAATGAGATTGGAAATTTCTCAATTAACGCATAATGTGCATAATTAAAAATAAATCGTTCAACTTCATCCAAGATGGTTCTATCAGGTTGGAATCAAACGATATTTAAAAATGATCAAATGGGGTTACAAGGAATATAATGGATCGCGGCTCGCAATCAGACAGGAAGCGTTTACCAAGAATTACCGTACCCCAGTCTGATGGTTCTCCGAACAAAGAAAAAAAGATATAGCGTATAACAACAAGAAGAAATCAGATCTGAGAAGGGATCCGTTTAATTATATGTTACCAAGATATTCGAATGTGGAACCAGCGAGACGAACAGACTGCACGGGAGAAATAAAAAACAAAACATATAGGCCATACCGTGGAGTTTACAACTTAAGTGTATTTATGATGAATGAGTGCGATTTAAAAATAATTTATAAAAAAAAATCCGCAACTGTTGTGTTCATCATAAATTGCTTTAAGACACTCTGATAGATTTTTGAAAACAGATTGGCTATATTATTATTCACGTTGCTGACCCACGGATATTAAATCACGTACCTTGGCTTGGCAGCCATAATCAAGCCTCCCAGCAATTTATAATATACAATGTAGCTATCAAATGATGATTTCGGGTTTAAATATATATAATATATGACTTCCGATCGAAATTGATTGGGACTACTGTATTTGCCATCTTTTTTAAAGCAAAAAAACACTGAACTGATGTTTTGCTTCTAGGTAGTAATGATTTTGATATTAGTCTTTTTTGCGAACATATATAGGAAATATCATCAATGACTAGCACGTCCGTACAAAAATTAGAGTTGAATATTTCATGATTTTTTTTTTTTAATTTCTTTATCTTTTTTTAAAAATTTATGATTTTATGATAAAAGTCTTTGTCTTCGACATCTCACGAAAAAATCATAAAATTAAATTAATTTCTCATAAACTGAAATTGTACTAAAATTAAAAGCGTAAAATTCTTAATTAAAAAATATGTTATTGGAGATATAAATTTAAATGATGTATCCTTTATCTCGGTTCAAATTAAGAATAATATCTGGCAAGAAATTTAAAACGAAATTATTAAATATAAAAAACCTAAACGAAAATAACAGTAACAACCTAACAAAAACAGTAAATTATTAACGTCTGAAACTAATGGCTTCAGGATAATCAACGAGGCTATCTCAAAACGATATTTTTACTTTAATATTTTTTATATGTGAACACGTACCAGGTACAATGTATAATTAAAAATTATAACAATTTTATAATAGCTGGTTCTGACTGTTTTGTGTATAGTGATTAATTGTATACCCTTCGGAGATTCAGGTAGCTGGCAGGTTATTAGAATTGGACTAAGACTTTAAAGCAGAGGCAGTCAATTAATTTTAGAGTTTTTTACAAGTAGTAAAAAATTAACTACTTGTAGTATGAGTGTATTGTAACACAAATGCTTTGAATTATGTGAAAAAATACCATAAAAACCATGTTAAATAAACATATTCATTAAAAAATATTTATAAATAATTAAATAAAAAATTAATTAGGCTCAAATGGATTTCTTAGTAATAATTTCATGAAATCATCAAATTACATGGACAGCAAGGTTATTTTCTGTATATCACATATATATTAAAATCAAATATCAAAGTTATACGAATTTTGTAAAAAACCCTAGAAGTTTCAATAGTTATTTGCTGATTTTTTCCAAAAAAGTAACTTGTAACACAAATGAAGATAAAAATTGCTAGTCAATAATGCCTGATTTTTTATACTAATTGCGAGTAAAAAATTAACTACTTACAGTATGAGTTACAGTGTAACGTTACACAAATACTCTCGGTTATGTAAAATAAAAATATATATTCTTAATACGAAAAAATAAGGAATAAATATAGATATAAGATAAGAAATAAATTAAATAAATTAACTAGATTTAAATGATTTTCATAGAAATGAATTGCAAAATTACATGAATTACAAATCGAATATCATAGTTGTATAATGTTTGTAATGAGCTGTAGTAGTTACCATAGTGTAGTTATCAATAACTGGATACTGATCGATTGAAGTTTATTTTTAATAAGAATGAATTAGTTAAATTAATGAATAACTCTCAAAAATAATAAGTTTTTTTTGGTTTTTTTTTTATTCTCAAATCGTAACAACAATCATAACCTTACGTTCTATAAGCTGTTGGGCTGAAACTTCTTTTTACTTCAAATTTTTAGATAGTAACCCAATGGTTAATCCATCCATATTTGATGATATTATTATTAGAATTTTTTAATAGAAGTGACTTTTTTATTGGTGAGCAATGTCGACTAAGGGATATTTTCACTTGGAAACATATTGCTAACTATATTTCCAAGAGAAAATCGTTATCACTGCTGCTTGACAACAGGTTGCTCAAAGTGAGTATCGAACCCGGGATCTCTAAGTCAAGTCCCGTCGCTCTTAACCGCTTAAATAAAAAAAGTGTAGCAAAAAATTAAACCAATACATAAAGAATATCTTATATGAAGCATTTTTGCATTACTAATGCAACATGCAATATATTCTGATTGAAAAACCACTAACGTTTGTAATTGCAGAAAGTAAAGATAGTTTGACAAAGAAATTTCAATCCGGTTTGTTTCAGTTTTAAACGAAAAAAGTATATAAACTATATAAGCAAATAAAAATTTCAATCAATAACGAATAAATTAATGTGATAATAATCGTTTCAATATGTTTATTTAGCGTTCGGAAGCAGATCTTCCCGAGTGCCGAGCGCGTGCCGTCTGCAATAAAGTCGACCTGTACGACAGCGGCGCGCCGTGGGTCGAGCGCCAATGCCGCTGCGTGGCTCCCGACGGCGGCGAAGCCCCCTGCCCCAGTACGGCCAACGCTGAAGATGGACATACGCTCGTAGACAAAACGAGGCACTATAAACTTTGCGAGCCCATCAAGAGGCTGCCAAAATGCAGGTAAATAGAAATAATCAAGAAGAATAAAAAAATTGTTTGAAATTATGGAATGAAATATTCGCATAAGTAGCTTGTAGTGGAGACTGTGTATGGTTGTGCCAGGGTACACTAGTGATAGTTCTCGTAACAGATGAACTATACTGAGTTTGAGATAGGGTCCAAAGGGAGAAAATGTACCTAGTATGTTATTTCGAACAAATTCCCTACATTAATATAAGCTGTAAACCGCATTGCTTAAAAAGTCGAAGTTTTGTTTGTTCGATTCCTTTTAATACTATTTTAATAGCGTTGATGATTTAGTTCAGTGTGAACGATGAGTTGTTTTCAAAAGTGTGAGTTGGGTTCGGTTGTGACAAATTTTGTCGATATACAGAGAGCTCACATTGTTTGTTATTTTGCTGTAAGTTGAACATTAGTAGCTAATTACCAGCAATTAGTCTTTGCGTAGATAACTTAACTCAAGGAAACAACTTAAAATTTCATACAAGGAAAAAAAGATTTCACAAAGATCTATTACTAAACTTTGTCTAAAAAATTAATTCTCGTTATATATTGTTATATTATACTTATAAACTTTGTTTGAATGATTGTGTTACATATTTCTGACAATGAAAATCGTTAATAATCATTCTGGTTTTTATAGCTATTGTTTTTTACCATAATTTTATGTCTGTCACAACCGTCCTGGGCTTGGGGACTCTATTCGATTTTATGACTCTTTTTTATTTAATCCATCGTATTTAAGGACAGTACTTTAGCATATCCACATAGACAAATGTTCAAATTACTATTTAATTTACTTTTCTCCCAGCCAATAGGTAAATCAACAAAATTATTTCTGATCAAAAGAAAAGTGCCACAACTGTACCCAGTTTTCCCTACTATAATAAATCTTTCAATTAGATTAAATATTAATAAACACTCTATACGCAACAAAAACGAAAAAAATGATAGCAATAACTAGCAGCGATATTAAATGTGAGAAATACCAAACGTTGACAAACCTGATGACAAACTAATGTGATCAACGGCTACCTAATTGTATGTCTAATATGAATCAAAAAGATTGAAAGCAAAGCTGTGTTCAATGAACTGTATCTTATGTCTAATTATTTTTTCACGCAAACCAAGTATCCAATAAAACCTCTATATAAAAATTATGACATAATTTATACACTAATAATCATATGCGATATAAAACAATTTGATGTCAACGCATTAGCTGCTGTGGAATTTTAATGTAGGCGCCGCGCCAACTTTTGTTATCGGTTTGCTGATACTAATAATTAATTCATATTCGATAAATACTATCGAGTAATTGCCCAATACCTGTTTTTGAAATATTTCACGATATTATTACAGCTATGGTTGAGCAATATTATTTGAACGATGCTACTATAACATAGAGTTCAGAGAAGGCATTATGTTGTAAATGATAAACGTCATAAGTAATTTTTAATGTAAACAAAATGCATATTGCATATTAATAGGAATGACTTATTACATGTTTCTGATGCCCTCGATACTAGCTTGGGGGCGTCCATTATTCACGCTAGGTTTCAAGGGGGGAGGGGGGGTTTCACAAAAAATATGGAGTATCACGTGGGGGAGGAATGGATATAGTAAGATATCACGTGTATTTATTTTTTAACTAATTTAAAAAAAAATACACTGCAACCCTTCGGATCATGCAACGATTACGCGGGATCCATCTGCAAAACATGTATAAACAAGAGTAGATATAGTAAAAATACACAAAATTCTGCCGCTTCTCCATGACGAGTATATTAGTTAATCACAGTTAATCCTCTTATTGATTTCTAAGTATTATTCCTTTATGGGCTCGCCCATAGGTATGCGGTTAAGAGCGACGGGACCTGAATCAGAGGTCCCGGGTTCGATACCGACTTCGAGCAGCCTGTTGTCAGGCAGCAGTGACAACGATTTTCACTTGGAAATATAGATAGCAATATGTTTTCAAGTGAAAATAGCCCTTGCCCGGCATTGCTGCACCAATAAATAGTCAGCCCTATTAGATAAATTCTAATAATAAAATAATAAAATATGGATGGATCTAAAAAATACGAAGGGCAAGTTTCGTAACGAAGGGGTAGTTCAGCCCAACGGCTCATAGGACGTAAGGTTCTGATTGCTGGTAAAAATAATAACAAAAAAAAAATTATTCCTGTATGTGTGTCGGTATTCATAACGATGTAATAACAGTTAATGATTTTCGCAGATATTTCCGGGACACCACATGGACACTGACGACGTTACCGGAAGCAAATGCAACGGAACAAGTCGTGCACTGTCATTGTCCGCGCAACGCGGTCACCTATCTCATCAAGAGGCAGGCGTACAAAACGGCCAATGGCCAAACGAGCTATCAGTATTCCTTCGCCTGCTCGCCACAAAGTGTAAGTATTTAAATAAATAAACATATAAGTAATACACATACACTAATAGTAATAAATATATGATAATATAAATATTACTAATTGTAAGTGAAGCTTTGATATTTAATTTAGAGCCTATAGTAATATTTTGCATAGGAAGTAAATAAAGAGTGTACGCTAGTCACACGTGTGAGGGTTAAGCAAAATATATAATTTCACAATTTATTACACAATATTTTTCATATTCGCATTTATTTTTTTACAAAAAAAAAACAAAAATATGATAAGTGAGGTAAGAAAAGTATTACGCATACGCATGATTTGCAAACTAGTTGGTGTTAATATGCTTCTAAATTGGAGATAGATTTAAACAAGTAAGATCGCCCGCAATTAGTGTTAAACTAGAATTTTCTTAAAATGAACATTTTCGAAAAGATAGAAAGAAGAAAAATAATAATAGTGTAAATTCTTAAACGGATTTCCGCAGTGCACAAATAAATGATCCGTGTCGATTTCTAATGCCATTTTCTACTATACTATACATCACATCGTATGTTGTTTTAACGTTACTTGATTAAAGAAAAAGATTATAAAATTGTCGCAACATTGTGAATTCTACACGATATTGTATAATAATTCAAGAAATAAATGATAATATTAAAGGGTTGCCTGTCCGAGGGCAGGTCCATAGAGTAAGAGCACCATATATGTATATATATATATGCAATGGGTTAACACATAGCCATCTGTGAGAAAATCTCATAAGTTACTAGTTCTACTTGGAATCTAGTCGGAATTCAAACCACGTACTATTCTATACACGATTCCAATAAGATTGCGCAGATGGCGACGTTGGAATTTGATTTACAAGGGTTTGTTATTATTGGAATTAACTTTTTTTAAATCATTTAAAATAAAATTATAAATATATTATCAAAATAATTAAAAATAATTAAATATAATTATGTAAACAATTATTCAAAAATTAAATATGACCTATCATAAGGAAACGTCCATTGATCACGAGATCGATTTTTTAAGGATTTTTGAACAGTATTTTATTCAAATGTAAAGAAGGTTTAAAATAATGATATTTTTTAACACGTTAATCGCCACGATGATATCAAAAAAAATTCACATGGGCCTTGGTAACTTTATTAAATAATTTAATTAAAAATGTATCAAGAAAACTAAATGCATCAAAGACATTTGCCAATATCCCTCGAAAAACACTATTTTTATGTTACACATATTTGACCGACATGACTCTATATTCGAAAAACTAGTAACCACTAGTAACCAGTAACCGAAATTCTCAATAATTTTACTAATGAGCCGATTCTGCCGCACGACAGACCAATGCTATGGCAAGGCCATTTATGAAAAACTTCCCATACTAAATATTGACAAAAGCCACGATGTCGCTGTGCAGTCAGGCGTTTTACTCGGGTTGCGGATGGAAAACCTAGCCTAGAAGCCACAGAAATGTCAAAACAACTATCATAGATAACAGGGTCTTTCTGGCCCAGCTTCATAACATAGAAGTGACGTTGCAGTATATGTGTAAAAGGCCTAAATGTACAGCAAATACATGACATTTTGACACTATTTAGTATAATTCAGTAGCCTAATGTATGGATATTGGAGCGTAACATGGCCTTGCCATAACGTTCCGTTGAGCGACAGAATCGGCCCATAGGAGTAAAAAATCTTAAAGAAACAATTACCTTCTGAATGTCGTCTATAGGCGACACTTGTACAAAGACACTTGTACGAAGTCGTCAGGCAGTTGTAGTCTAAAAGCGACAGTGTTAAACAATATTTATCAAAATAAATAATTTAACTAATTAATATTTTTTCTATTCCAGAGATTACGATGCCAACGCAAAGAGCCATGCCGATTATTCACAGTCCGAAAGAGGCAAGAATTCCTCGAAGAAGTAAACAGTAGCACCCTGTGCCAATGCCCGCGAGACCACCATTGTCCCCGACACCACACGGACCCGGGTTCGATATCGGGCAAAAGCTACACCGAAGAATCAATACGCACGTATTCAGGCTATTGTATGCCCAGCTAGATTACCAATGAAAACGCAATCTTAAGTTCCCTTAGTACGAATTTCGAAATGTTATATTTATAAAAGTCTACTTACTAACGTAAAATCGAATCACGAATAATATAAGTTATTATTTTTCAAAAATCGATTCGATACTATTGATTTTAATAACATCGCCAAAAACGTAATTCATTCCACAAAGTGTAATATTTGTTAGATGCGTAATGTTTCAGTCAATTTTAAATAGTTTAAGATGTTAAATGTATATTTATGTATTTGCTTTGATTCTGAATGCTTGATGGTTCATATGCATGTGCACATAGATTATATAATTAAGGATTCTGTTAAAATGTACTCATAAGGAATGGTAGAGAGCTCGGCCTCTTCGTTCGATACAAAAATTAGTTGATTTGTATATAAAATAGATATATAAAATTTTAATGATATAATATATATGAAAAACTTCTTAATAACTTTTCATGCCATTGATTATAAATATTAATTTAAAAAGCAATCATTTTAAACTCATTGTAGTAGATCGTTGTTTTCGATGAGGAAAATTACAATGAATTTTTTTTAAATCATTATTGTAATCGCTTACATTAATATCTAAAGCAATATCAATGTTTAGCACAAAAATATGATTTACTAATTTGAGAAAATTAAATTATTTAAAGATTGCGGCTGATCTAGATCAACGCTAGCAGCAGATGCATAAAATTTAATTTCCCTTGGTCATTTTTGTAAACCAATCCCAAATTTGCTTAAATTGAATAAATTATGTTCGCTGGACTTTATAACATAGCAATTTAAGTTAAGGCATAAAGAAATTATCAATAATATAATATTGCGATGTATGTAATCATGTAAATAGTTTATAGCTCCTAAAGTTTTATATATAAAGTTATTTAAAACACAGACGAATGCCATGAATTTATCACAAATAAAATATAATTTTATTAAATGAGACGACAAATGTTAATATTGATTGTATTATAAACGTCTTCCAATGTAATTCCATATAATAATTGTTATATTATTTATTAAACAAGTTTAAATTAAAAACAATGCTTTTATTTACTAGTTCTAGGTTCGAATATAAGTAATTATGTATATAAAATTATTTATTATAATGTTGAAAAAATACTCAACTTTAAAAATTTGCAAGCCACTCAATACTCAATTATAATACCTTCATTAAAAACATATTTTTAAATTTTATTCTGTAAATATTTCAATCTTACATTCTTAGAAATATAAATGTTTGTTTCAAATGACAATTATTGATATGCTACATTATTTGCATTAGTCAAATAATTAAAATTAAAAAAACAATACTTTATCTACAAAAAAACTTTTAATACGCTAGGTTATTTTAAACCTCAATTGCTCAATATTTTTTATTTAGAATTTATTTTAACGAATTTTGTAAAATAGTGATAAAAATTCCTTATAGCCATGTTAAATCCATAAAAAAATTACAAGAGATACAGTTATTTGATTCACAAAGAAATAAATTAATATCTGTAATCCTTCTCGAAAAAATAAACTCTTCGCAATTTTAGAACAAATTTACGCACAGAAATATTTATAGGACATCATTTCGTAGGGCATTATTTTGCAAACTCCTCTTCAAAATGCAATAAAGATTTGGAAAACATCATCACCAATTAAAATGAGATGTGATTGTGAAAATAAAAAGTTGTCTTTAGATTTTATAAATTCAGGAGCTCAAGAATAATTTTCAATTATTCAGATACAAAACATGATACTACTTCTATATAATCATATAAAATACGTTAGATATTATCGCATTAAACAAACTAGGACAACACGTTGCAACTTGCTGATTATATTCCAAGTTTGATGTAAATAATGACCAATCTCAGTTGTATAAAATTTATTGATGAAGCCAGAAGATTTCATGATTTACCAACTGTTCGCAAGAAACTCAAATTTAAATGCCCGTAAACTCTCATATCAGTAATGCACAAAGAAAGCTATCAAGATGCAATTTAATAAGCCATTTCAGATGCAATTAAAAGCTTCATAGAATTATCTACAATACAATTATTACAAATAAATACAATATAGTAGATAGACAATCATGCCTTTACAAAACCAATCTTCTATTACTATCAAAACGTGGTAAAACAGTTTCATAAAATCATCCTATCTACAAAGTTGTCTAAGACTCTGATGAAGTTCATAATGTTAAATTGCAAAACGTAAGCAATTCTGCTAGTTATTACTAATAAATTTGTGCGCGATTACGGTAGTTAGGTTCATAGTTTAAAGCTGTAATAAATCAGATACCAGATCGATTACACCAGGAACGCAAAATAAAGCCAGGTCAAAGGTTTTACGGCCGCGATTTAGAGATGGTGATGCGTTGAAGAGTTACGATGAAGACTGCAATTATGCGAAGATTCGATAATCTAGATTTTAGATATAAGAAGTAGATATAAGTGGTATTTAGTATATCGTAGTAATAACTCAGGATAAGAAGGGTGTTGAAAAATATTTGATCATGAATACGAATGACGTATTACATTAAATTTTAAATGCAATATTCAATATAAATTCAAATTATATTAAGTTTTCTATTTGTAAAGGACGATTAATATGAAAATCAAATGGTCTTGTAAATGTAAAAACAGTGATTTGATGTACATATATCATAATAAAATTAAAAACGGATAATAAAAGAAACATAATTTACTGAATTCAATTTACAATATAATGAATTCTCACTTTTTACGATTTAATCTTATCACGATCTAATTTTCATTTAGATAAAAGATAATTAAGGTGACCATGCATACGTCCCGGTTTGGCACCTTGTGTCCCGGATCTAGATGTTCTGTACCGGATTGTTCCGGGTTTCCACAAAGTATAGATATAAATTTTATATTTGCAATTACTTGATAATAAAATTACAATCATCCATAAAAAATGATAATGATATATACAACGGGTATGCAGTATATCAAACAAAATGTTATGTATAAGAAAATTGCCGAATGCAAAGTTCCAAAAGCCGATTAAAATATCCGCTTACATTAATAATTTCGTACTTTACGAAAATTACCAAAAATTATGGAAAGGAGCTTTTTGAATTTATAAAAAAAAAATATATGATATAATTAGAGCAAATAATAAAATAAGGAAGTCCTACTTAAAGTCAGTTATTTTGATTAAAAAAACATATTCAATAAAAAAAACTGATTTTAAATCATAACTAGCTGTAAGTGGAATTCTGTCTTAAGGCAATTAAGGCATCGTGCCTTAAGTCAAATTGCTGGAACTTCCCGTACCAAAAATTATTATTTTTTTAAAAACGATTGACATTTTTTAAAAAAAATTACTTCGAAAAAATACGATTTTTAAGAAACTATAAATTGGACAAAAAATTACTTTTTTTTGAAAAAAAATTTTTTTTAAAAAAAATTTAAAAAAAATTTTTTTTTTGTTTTTTTTTTTTTTGAAAAAAATTTTTTTTTTATTTTGACATTTTGTGGAAGAGCTGAACTTTTCAAAGCAATCGTACTGCTTTAACTGCATAGGGGCAGAATATAAAGCGCGTAAGCGCCGCGTCGCTGTCTAACGCATAAGCATTGGTACGGAACCCATAGGAATGTTAACAAAATGTATACTTATTGTTAAAATCTCTATAAAATATCTGATAATTTGATGAGCATATGTCTAATGATCATTTTTGACCGCCAAATGGCTTATTTTTTTACTTTTTCCTCCATATCTCCGAAACCGCTAGAGCTACCTTCATGAAAATTTCATCGATTCTTAACCTTGTCAATACAAGTGAAATGTTTTTTGAATTATTCAAATCGGACGCTCCGTTCTCTCAAAAAACTGAGTTACCGTTTTCGGCACTTTTTGCCCCGTATCTTCGGAACGGCTAGACCTGCCTTCGCCAAAAACTAATCAGCACGTCTCCTTATCAATACGAATCGAATGTTTTTTGAATTATTCAAATCGGTTGACCCGTGTTCCCGAAATCGTCGACGAAATTTTGTATCCGCACATACATACACACACATACATACATACACACACACACACACACATACACACACACACACACACACACATACATCCATTTTTTCTAAGGTATGCCAAAATGTTCAGAAACCTCTGAAACGTAAAGATATATAAAAATTTTCATTTTCGATTTTTTTGCGATTACTATAACTTACCCTACGGGAAGTTAATTAAGATATAGTCCTGGGTTAGCAAAAGAGTTGCCGTATCAGTTTAAACTTTAAAAAATATGGTCAAAGTGGTAAAGATTCGAGAATAAAAATATATGATAGTTGTATATAATATTGATTGAATATAATTTTAACACTATTAATAATAGCAGTAATAGCCAACTTATTACTAGACAATATTTTGAATAGCAAGGTAAATATTCTTTGCAGTAATGCTCCTAAAGGCTATATTTACTTGATATTATATTTGAGAGCTGTGAACTCAAGTGCAAATCTGATATCACTACTACTTGATATCAGGCTGGCCACTGTGGATAACAACCTTGGAATCAATGGTCTCTATATCACGTTTTATTGTCAGCTCAGCTCAAAAATTAATACTGTAAATTTGAAGAATAACAGATTTTGCAAGAATCTCATAGCACATCTGTCTTAGAGTAAACATTTTTACTCCAATGCCGAATATCCGACGAAATCGTCATCGAAGGTCAATTGTTAGTATGGAATTAAAAAATTGACTATAAAATGATGCCCATAAAACGTTAATTTAATTTTTGGAATGAAAGTTGAAATAAAAATAATCCGTGTCGACAGGAACATTGTCATATCGATGGTGTATAGTAAACGTAAAACCGTGAAAAATGTAAGTGATTAATAACTTTAATAAAACTTTAAATTAACTGGATTTACTAAAGGAGTTGAAAATTACCGTAATAACTCAAGTTGAGGAGCTTTGATTATTGTAAGACCTTTTTTAGAAACCAATGAAGGAATAGCTTTATGTCCTCG